AACTCATTAAAATAAAGTAACAGGTGTTTGAAACAATCAATAGGGATGCCATTTTTACTCCGTTTGAAAAAGTTTGCGTGTACTATTGAACTTATAAAAAAATTATATTGTTAAATGCGCATGAGGGAATATTTTATGGATAAAGTTGCATTTTAAGTCTAGAATATTATTTCTGGTTCTAATTATAAGACTTTGTTTATAGTTTACAAACAGGTTCTTATCAAAATATGGGGACCGAAGATTCCGTTGACTTGGAAAGCAAAAAACAAAACACACACACACAGAGAAGAGTTTCATCAAACTGGGCTTTTCTTGTCATGAAGTATATTGGGCCTGTTATAATTAGCCAATGACTCAGCGAATAGCCCAAGGCTCCTTATGAGTACTCCGTTCGGGGGGAGAGTAGGCCCGCATTTTGCATGGTCTCATATGTAGGCCCAATTTTGCACCTAAAAGCGTGCACCAGTGGACGGGTTTAATATAAAAGACTAATCCTTTATAACGTGATAAATCAATGTTTGAATTCTCAGTCAAAAATACTTACATTTAATGTTTGAGAGTGCCTTAAACAAAATTAATTACTATAAAAGAATATTTGTGCCTAGAAAAAAAAACATTTTAGCATTAAGCAGAGTTTTAACCAATCCTTTCTCATTCAGTTCCAACATAATGTAAGAAAGGATGTTGAGCACTGAAGTGTTGACTTCAGAAATGTTTTTATCCTTCTTTTGAAAAAATATATATGGTTCCTTCAAAAAACTGTTTTAAGGTCCCACTTAATTTATCAAACCAAAATTTATACAATCCTATAGAACACTTTAAAGCAAAGGAAAGATAAGTAGAGAAAGCATACACAAACTTGTGATGGCTTCGAATCATATACATAACTTAATGTGTTTAACTAATTTTATAATTTTTGCATTTTATGCCACAAAACTACTTTAATATATTTATCTCGGACTTGTACCAAAAATATATATTTATATATTCATCTCGGACAGAATTATTTAAAATATATTAAATCCAGTACCCGTGATTAAAAGCATACAATATATATCAAATTGAGAAATTAGCAGAAGACATTAGCAATGACAGTCATTACTCATTATGGTTATGAGAGTCAATTTAAATTAATTTCTCCACGATTAATTAAATCTTAATTACATATTATAATGAATATGTAGGGCATATTTGTATAGTTCTGCGAAAGCCACGCGCCACAAAATTATTAGTTTCAAAATATCTGGAATTTGAATCTCAGTATGGAATTGAAACTTGATAAAAAAGCAGACCAGTAGATCGGGTATGGCCATTGCAGCAGAGGCTTCAATGGAGCTAAGTTCAGGAGCAATCATCGGCATGGCTGTTGGCTTCATCGTGTTTTTCCTTATACTCACAATGTTGTGTTGAATTAGGAACTGTTTGGAATAGCTCATAAATATTTTCTCAATCGTGATTCACAAAATATAAGATAAATATATGAGAAAATTTTGTTTCTGCTTACGTAAAGCATGCTTATAAGTGGTCTTTTTATTGCTATCCCAAACAAATCCTTACAATATGTCTATGCAAAGCTCATGTTAGAGATGGCAAAGACGATGCCACAGATGGTGGCGGTGATGACTGCCACAGTAATAACAACAACAATGACAATGATAGCAGTAGTAGCCACCACAACAGTTATTATCACCATCATAGGAGCAGCTGCCACAGCCACCACCACAGGGCCACCATGATGCCAGCCACAACGGTGGTGGCAGCCACGGAATATGATCCATTAGCATCTTCCCCAACCACATGGTTGTCCATTAATATCTTTTCTTCCTCAACAGTTCATTAATTCTCTTTTTTTTTTACGAGGCAAGAAAACTTGATTTAGATGTTGGTGGCAGGTGAGGGGGCTAATGCCATGTCATCTTGTAATCGGTTTAAACATTCTAGTGGGGGCCTCTACCAATAGATCATTTCTTCTTGTATGTCCTGTGCCTTTTTGGCCAACAAGTTTGCACAACAGATTACATTCCGTGGTGCGTGATTGATGCTGATGTCCAAATCTGAGTAAATTAGCTCCCGGATTTCTGTTATTTCACTAGGTAGAAAGTGGTTTGCACCTCTTTTGGTTACGATCAATCTAAGAACTTCAATAGAGTATGTGAAGACCACAATCTTACTGAAACCTTGCTGTTTACACATTTGCAGACCTGTTAGTAAGGCCATTAGTTCAGCCACAGTCGGTGGAAGGACTCCTAGTCGTCTCCGAAATCCAATGCGCCATCTGCCTGTAGCGTCTCTTACTAGACCTCCACATGCTGCCTGTCGGTGCTGATTCATGGAGCCATCTACATCAAGTCTCATGACTCCTTCCAGTGGGGGGCTCCAAGTTCCTTCACAAGTCATTGTGGATCCAAAGATCATATGTTGCAGTCTTCCTCTTTTCGTAGTCTCCATTAGCTGGTGAAGTAGTGCATGTCTGATTTCCTTGGCTGAATACCGTTGCCCTTCAAGTACATCTCTGCATCTGTTCTTCCAGATAAGCCAGCATGTAGTGATAAAGACCTTAGACCAAATCCACTTTGCAAAATAGGCGTTTCCCGCTCCTTTTGATAAGTTCTCCTTCATCCAAAGTTACAAGTTAGATTGAAAAAAACTAAAAAGAAGATTGGGATGCACAATGTTTATCCAGATTTCTCTGACAATCTCACAATCTCTCAAAATATAGTGTTTTCCTTACTTAAGCACTCAAAAGGGCACTCTTCACTTGTTTGGATTCCTCTCTGTTTTCTAAGTGCGTTGGTAGGTAATCCCTCTTGAATAGCTTGCCATATGAAAAATTTCATTTTTTCTAGTATCGGAAGCTTCCAGATTGTCTTCCACTGAGCTCTATTATTGGTGTGAGTATGTTTGAAGGTCATATTGTAAGCAGCTTTGACACTGAAATTCCCATCAGAAGTTGCTTGCCACCAAAATTTATCTTCCTCACTACTACATGGTGCTTTCATCTTCTCAAGCATTGCAACAACTTCATCAGGAAAGAAATCCTTCCATCTGTGCACGTCCCAACAACCATTAGGGAGAATGAATTGGCTCACCTTTTCACCAGGAATAATGCTTGCTACATTTCTTTCTGCTAGGTGTATTAGTAGTATTTCCAGCTGTGTCCATAGATCCCACCAGAAGTGAGTTTGATTACCACTTTTAATCCTTCGACCTACACCTTGATAGAACTAGTCCCATACTTTTGTGATGCTGTTCCAAACTGCAGAGGTGTTCTGTTTTTAATTCTCTCTATTTTAAGTCCTTTATATTGTATTTACATGTTATTCTCCCTTGTATTTTATTGGAAAGTTCAATAATAAAAGTCTTGAGTAGGTTGATTTTTATAATATGATATAATTAGATTGAAAGACCAAAATGTAATTTATTGATTATAGTTGGCAAAAGGAAAAAAATTATTGACTATTACATTATGAAAAATAACAATTTTTTTCCATTGATTTTTCTTCCCCTACTAGCATTCCGCCTCTGTTACTCATGCACAAATACATGAAATAATACCTCCTACTCTTAATATAAAAGTAAAATAATTAATTTAGAAATATTAAGAAAATTAGTTAAATTGATTAATTATAACAATGTGTGGTAATTTTTTTTAAAATTACTTTATTTAATTATGTCCATCGGAACTAATTCTTAACTAGAAATCTTTAATATATACAATTAATATGAATACTTAAATTTTATATTTAGGAGTAAATCTAATTTTCAACTAGGCTTTATATTAGAGATAAGCTTTTATATTAAGAAGATGAGGTAGGATCATTTTACTTCCAACTATCTAATGGAAGATATATTCTTTTTAAACATGCACGGACATATATCACCCGCTAAAAAGTGGTTGGATTAATTTTTTAAGAGTGTTTTATAGAATACAAGATAAGTATGTGAAAAGAGTTTATTTATTTCTGTGCAATGAATTCCAAAGGTTACTATAATTGTTTTTTCCCCCCTCCAAAAATAGCAATTCATTTTCCTTCATAGACATGGATCATTGAAGGCTTGTTTGGTGAGAGGGAAACAGGTGAATGAAACTACCATTAAAACCATCACGGTTCACCAATGGGGGTTGGTCCAAATGATAAGCGGCTTGGTACCGCTTAAGCGAGGTCTCGAGTTCGAGCCTCAGCGTATGCAGAAATCCCCGTTGGGAGACTCACCATCACAGCCAGGTGCGCGACGCGGGTCGGATCCAGATGTAGTCGGAGCAAAGCTCCGGTGAACTGGGTGGGCAACCAAAAAAAAAAAAACCATCACGGTTCGGGAAAAAAATAGCCAAACATCGTAATTTTGCACAAAATCACTTTTAAATTGAAAACCATGATTAAAACCATGGTTTTTCATAAAATGAAATTTTTTTGTTTTTAAAGATATAAAACCATGCTTTGGGATATAAAAAATAAATATATATGAGAACAAATAGATTGAAATCCTATTTTGATAATCACATTGAATATCCAATTAACTTTTATATTAAAAACAAAAAATAATATTAATTAATTATTTTTTTTCACATATAATTTCAGACAAAAATATAAATTAAAATCTATTTTTTATATAATTATCATATTAATTTATATCTTCTTAATAATTTGTATATGAAAAAAATTTCTGACAACACCATTCAAACATCTTCATTTTATTAAAGTCATTTTTTTCACAATCTATTCTTAAAATCTATTTTGCCAAGATTTATTCATAAAACCTATTCTTTTAAAATCTATTTTTTAGAACTATTTTCAAATCATAATTCACTCTAAAACACCCCCAAGTACAGATAAGGATTTGATCGACTAACTTTTAAGAATAATAATTAAAATTACAAATTTTCACATCCTCTGAACTCATCACGCTATCTGAATCTTTGATGTAATTTCTCCTAGCACACAATGACACAAGTCACGCAAACGTCTGAGAAAGGCTTGAACCAGGTGAGAACTCATCCATCTATCAAGAGTCAATATTAATATTGATAATTTTTTTTTTTAAAAAAATGCCGGTCACATTGTAGCCCACATCCTCCTAATGTCACAATTACAACACTCAAGTGAGTGAAGATGGCATGCTTATTGTTTGCAAGAATGTTACAAAAAGGAAGGCCTATAACAATTAAATAAAAAATTATTGCCACGCCTCATCCAAAGGCATGTACGTAGTAAATTGAAACAAAACATTGGGCCACACTCCCTGTGCAGTCAAAAAGCAAAGAGAAGAAAGAAAACTACAATAAACTAATAGCGGTTCCAGTAGGTTCTGCGTCTGAACCAGTTGTAATCAGGCAAGCCCTGAATAGGTCCCATGGCTGCAATAGCTACATCCTGCAGTGGGGGAGCATTCCATGAACCATACATCCACAAGCATCACATAGGAATAAGTACGTTTCAAGAGATCTCAAAAATTACCTTGTCATAAATGAATCGGTTTGCCACACGTTTAATTGTGCTTGCATCTACAGCATCGATTCTAGCAAACAATTCAGCATATGGAATTCTTCGACCATACGTGAGTAACTGAAATTGATAAAATTTGTGAATAGAACAATTCGTTAACAATTATAGATCTAGTGTAAGAGGCAAAGTGCTGCCGCATAACAAGCTAGTCCCTATTGAAAAGCTGGAATACAGATTAATGACATCAGATCAGACAACGAAGGGTTTGACACAATCTTGCCAGAAACATCACTCTCTCCCCCATTACTTTGTCTTCTGACATGTATGCTATTGCGGTTACAGAAGAATCTGTTCATGCTTTCTAGGCCAACAGAAAAGAATCCAGTCATGTTACCCCTGTTAGCTTGCTAAAAATTATGTTTCCGTTTGAAAATAAGAATGGTCCCTTCTACATTCCCATTTCTGTCCAACATAACACAAGGTAGATTGGAAACGAAATAGGAATTTGATAAGCTGCTATTTCAGTTTCACATTACATGGTATCTTGTACATTACGGGTCTGATAATACATAAGATTCCATGGTATCCATGTTGACAGATGAAAAATGTCGAAAGAAAAGATAGTGAGTGGTATTAATAGCAATCAGACAAAAGCTTTGATACTTGTTACTTGAAATGTCCATGTCTGGTATGACGGCTAAACTCCTTTTTGTCCTTAGAACACCATGAAATTATGTGCATGGCATTTCACACCAAACAATACGATAATATTCCATGACACCCAACTCTTATCATACTAATAGGAGAGGACCAAACAAAAGCACATCGGATATCAACTGACATCAAAACATGAGTTTAGATGACGGTGCACTCAAATGCTTCCTTACTTAAAAATGTTTTCTAACGTTTTTAGAATTACTAATGGAGACTTGTAATCAGTATGCAAAGGATTTAGTTGCAGAAGTACCCAAACTACATCATTTTCCAATTATTCTCATGTCCATTACGACTGCAAGCAACTTCATTATCATTCAATATAATTAAGCTTGATTCACTGATAATTGCACAAATACAGGTACTTTCCTTCCTTTAGAGTGAACCTTCCCCTTCCCATTGCTTTTATTTACAAGGAGCGTGAATAAAAATCTAATTACGTACCTGGCGCCCGATATCTTCAGCCACTGGACTGGTACCATCTATGTGCAGCAGCAGTGAAGATTTCAACTGAAATAAATACAAATAGCAGTCACTATAACTAGGAACAGGCTACAAGAATGAATTACAGGTAGAGTCACATCAACCACAGATTTTACAATAAATAAATGCAAAGGATCACGATCCATACTGGAGAAGAATTGAAAGAAAACTCAGCTTGATGATTTCAAAGGTATTTAGGGGTGTACTGGAGAATGTACATATGGGAAGATCTGATCAACCTTGGGGCACAAATGACCAAACCAAGCATGTGCCACAATCACATAATTTTATCCCTTTCAGATGCTACGTCAGGGACATACTAATCCATTAAGTATTTTCTTGTACTAAGCATCAGTGAAATTCCATTTCTCAACTCGAATTAGATGGACGGACCATAATACCAGAAAACCAACAAAGGTGCCTACCTGATTACGAGCTCGTGTGACATCATCTTCTGAAACACGATAAGCCAACTTGGTGGTCTCATACATTATTGCATAGGCCAAGTCATCCAAACAATCAGGCTGAAAGAATTAAAAATTAGAGATATGGTTCTGCAGGGCGGGGAAAAAAACACTTGAAGACATGAGGGAAAAGTTTATTGCAAAACAAATCAACAAATCAAATATTAGACACTGCACTTTATTACCAACTCAATGACTTTGTGTTGAAAAAGTGATTTTAAAACTTTCAAGGCAACGCTACATTCACGTTGCTTTGGTCAAAACTATGTTATGGAAACAAGTACTTAGTAATGATACCATTTCCAACATCAAGATATCTTTTGATACACTAGCACCTTAATCAACTTGAACATGCTGATATATAAAGACCCTGCACCATAATCTTCATATTTTCTACACTAAATCGTTGTGGAAAAAAACATGAAACTCTAAAGACATTTTTTTGGGGAGGGGGTGCAGTATTTTGTTACAAGAAAGATATTTGATTTCTTATCCTCAAGCTTCACTGTAATTTTTTTTTTTTTTGCCATCATTAATGTGAATATTAATATACACACACAAATACGCTCATACATACATATCTGTATTGTGCTCTAGCATATTTTAATCAGTTTCAATACCAAACCTACATGATGACTCACCTTAGCAACAGCATAAACGCCAAAAAGACCAGTATCCTTATAGTTGGTGTTGAAAGCCATCATGCTTTCCGCAACTTCATTAATGCCAACCCGTTGTGCCAACTCAGAACTGTTCATGCAGTTAAAATTTTCTTAGCCCAGGTGTCCGTGAAGTTGAAATATTTACTTTGAAAAAGGAAAAAAAAATTCAAGTAACGTACCCCATATGTTTTCCACCTCCTGCTGCCTTGTTCCAAGAGCCCAACATAGCCTGCATGACCATAAGGGAAATGGAATCGGGATCTGTCCACGCTGCTCCTTCAAAAGCCACTGCAAATTGGGCGAGGGGAATATCATCATCAATCATTCTAACCTGTATCACAGCAGTAGTGAAAGGAAGTTGTTATAAAATATTGCTATCACTACACAGTTAGTTGTAATGTACTCAGCTATGTATATAGATTCTCACCTCAGAACCAGTAAAAATAGCTGGTTCTTTTGCCACTAATTGAGAAGCAGTAGTGGGATCTGCTGACAACTTTGTGAATAAATTTTTCACTTGCTCAACAATATCTTCATGCTTGACAGCTCCAGATGCAGCTATAACCTGAGAAAGCAGACCCAAAAAGAGAATAGCCATCAGGCTAAATACCATATTCCAGTACTAAATAATGATCTGCGTCAAAAAAAAAGTTACAAGATAGCCATGTCTCCAGCAATGCTATGCGTCCGCCATTAACAAGGTCGTACATAGAAATAAGAACTCAGGATTTCAAACATACCATCCTGGGAGCTGTGTAGTGTGTCTGAATGTAGCTCTGTAAATGACCTTTGGTGATTGTCTTAATGTTCTGAGCAGGTCCAAGAATAGTTCTACCCAAAGGAGTGTACTGGAAAGCTGTTGCATGCAAATGGTCAAAAATGACTTCCTCTGTTTGCCCCTCAACCTACCAGCGGTTCCATGTAATAAACAAATAAACAAATTAGAAAATAAAAGATAGCATGATAAATTATACAATACAATTCAACTATGTCCAACACTACATGTAAGAAGCTAAGAAAAACTTTGCAAGCATAACCTACTAATTTAGAGTAGTTCATTTAGCCGGAACAAGATATTACGACAGTAAAAGAGAAAACTTTAAAAATACTAGAAACAGTTACTTAAGCTGCAATGCCAAACACAAAAATTAGAACCCGCTTATTCGACTATTATCTTATTTTGAAGAAAAAGATAACCGTTTTAGTATACAATGTCCCGTTTGGTAGAGCGGTGGAAATTTCCCATAAGCCCGTTTCACGTAAGCCAAAATAAAACTTCTCTCACATACTTATCTCGTATTCCGTAAATCACTATTGAAAAGCTACTTATTATAAGCTGTTGTAAACGGGCCTAATATAAAGTTGCAAAGAGACACCTCAACAAATAAACAGCATATGGAGCAAAGTGGGAAGGTTTTTACAATTTGATGCTACAGGAAGTACAACCAACCTCCTTTGTAGCAAAAGTCAAAACCTTGTTTTTAGTCCACAACAAGAAGAAAATTGAATCCGAAAAGTAAACCAAAAAACACTAAACTAACCCATCAAGCTTATGCCTTTTTGAGCCTACGAGCTTCAGATTTAAAAACTATCAAGTCAACAAAATGACAAGCTTCATATACGATCAATTATTTTGCCCCCGCAACTAGCATAGACAAGATAAAATAGATAACATTTACCAATTATTGTCTGAATTTGCTGCAACGAGCTAGAATACTGTCTCAATTCTACAACGAAAAGTAATCCCATTACCTCTTCCATTTCCCTGAGTATCACATCGCGCTCCCGGCTGATTCGGTTCTCATCAAACTTCGAATTCTGCAATATATCAGACAAAATATCAAGTGCCTTAGGAACATCCTTATCCGTAACCTTGGCATAATAAGTAGTTTGTTCCCTCGACGTGTAAGCATTCAAATGCCCACCCATATTCTCAATCTCCTCCTCCAGCTCGCGAGCTGTCCTCTTCTCAGTACCCTTAAAGATCATGTGCTCGAGGAAATGTGCCGTCCCGTTAGTCTCCTCGGTCTCAAACCGCGATCCTGCGTCAATCCAGACGCCGACTGTTGCTGTTTTCGCGGCAAGGTTTGACTCCGTGGCCACCCGAAGTCCATTAGGAAGGGTGGTAACGCGAGTTTCGGGTGCAGAAAGAATCCGAGTATGATCCGACAAGGTGGGGCGAGGAGACCCATATTTGAGGAATCGTGGGTCGGGGTTTTCGAGCTGCGTGAGCTTGGATTTCACAGCCTCAGCGAGCCGATCATAGATCATGACATTGGGAGGAGGCGGGGAAGGAGGGGCCGACGGAGTAGCGACGGCCGGAGAAGATGATGAGGACCGGACGGCCTGGAATGAAGATGAGAGAGGGGATAAGCAACGTCGTTGCGATCGCCGAGCTAAGGATAGAAGGTGCTTGAAGGCCATGACTCTGTAAGAGACTCGCCCAGTGGTACAGCTGATTAGGGTTTGAGCAGCCCCACCGAGAACACAGAAATAACTGGGATCGAGCGTAGGGAGGAGAGAAACCGAGAAACACACAGGCAGCAAGTTTCGTCGGTAAAAAAGTAAAACTCACATTCGCTCGCTCTACTTTCGGAATTTCGTTGACCGAACACCTTTCAACTTGCAGACCGTTTGTGTGTGGCAGAAGTACCCAACCGAAAAATGAAAATCTTCACAAGAATAAAATGAGATAGCCAGAAAAAAAATTTTCACTTCAGACCCAACTCCCATTAATATTATCCGTCAGACCCAACCCTATTGATAATTAACATTTAATATTAAGGGTTAATATAATTTTTATCTTTTAAGTTTATTCTTATTTTAATTTTGATCCCTCAAATTTTAAATCATAAGATTTGGTTCCTCAAGTTTTTTTTTCATTTAAAACATTGGTCCCTATAATTTAATAAAGATTTGAACTATTTTGTCTTTTGAGGGATCAAAATTTATAATTTGAAATTTGAAGGACTAAACAAAAATGAGAACAAGCTTAAGGAACCAAAAATCATATTAACCTAATATCAATCATCAAATATGTTAATGAAAATATAACAAATATATCTTGCTGGAAGAAGTAATGCTCACTTTTCTAATTAGAACAACAAATTTTACCCCATTTGGCAGAAGTTTGTTGTTTTGTTAAATCAAATTTTTGGATGGATTGTTAATTAAAAAATTTTGCTTAATAATTTATTGAGTGTTTTCATTGATCTTCATCATGTTTTTCAACAATGCATCACATTGGCTTTTCTTGCGGAAATTTGTCTATTTGTGGTTTGTGATCTTACCTTCTCGTAGCATAATGAAGGTGAGTATCATTTTTTGTGTGTTCAATGGTTGTCCCCAATGAAACTGGTTCTGTAAATTGACTTCCGTGAATGCCAAAATCAATTATCAACCTAAAATTGTATGATTAGCTCATAGGTCACCAAATGTTTCTCTGTTTTTTTTTTCAATTTCTAAAAGTAAATTCAACTATTAGATTGCTGGTAGAATTAATATGGTTGCAGTGAATGTGATTGTTGTGGGAATTGGTTAATAGATTGTCTTTTTTATTGCATATTGTAACATATAACCATGGATCTTCAAGAGGATAAATTGAGCCTCATTTGGCATTGCATATAAATCATTTATAAATAATTTTATGTAAGTTGAGACCAAATTTTTTTTATATATTTATTTTATAAATTATGATTAAAAAATTATTTATTTTATAAATTATTTCCTCAGGTTTTATTATTATTTTCATTTCCGTTGTTCTCTTCTCCCCTTCCATTCCATAGTCCAGACACCCTCCCCTGGATACTCTGTTTCTCGCCTCTGAAACCCTAGCTGCGCCAGGGCGAGCCTTGTACTGAGCCATGGCGTTCAAGCACCTAATAACCTTAGCTGGGCGTTCCCAACGACGTCGCAGCTCTGCTCTCTCATCTGCGTACCAGACCGTCCGATTCTCATCATCCTCCCCGGCTGTCGCTACCGAGCCGTCTCTTCCTTCCCCTCCTCCTCCCAATGCTATGATCTATGATCGTCTTGCCGAGTCCGTGAAGTCTAAGCTCAAGCAGCTTGAAAACCCCGACCCGCGATTCCTCAAATACGGGTCTCCTCGCCCTACATTATCGGACCACACTCGAATCCTCTCTGCACCTGAAACTCGTGTTACTACTCTACCTAATGGATTACGCGTAGCTACGGAGTCTAACCTTGCCGCGAAAACCGCCACCGTTGGTGTCTGGATCGACGCAGGATCACGGTTTGAGACGGAGGAGACCAATGGGACCGCACATTTCCTCGAGCATATGATCTTCAAGGGCACTGAAAAGAGGACGGCGCGTGAGCTGGAGGAGGAGATAGAGAATATGGGCGGGCATTTGAATGCTTATACCTCGAGGGAACAAACCACGTACTACGCTAAGGTTACGGATAAGGATGTTCCAAAGGCACTTGATATTTTATCTGATATATTGCAGAATTCCAAGTTTGACGAGAACCGAATTAGCCGGGAGCGAGATGTGATCCTCAGGGAAATGGAAGAGGTAGTGAGGACTACATTTCATTGTAGAATCGAGCGTGAATCATTTTTATGAATTTAGTAGCTCTTAAATGTGAAGTATGTGGGATTAAATTTCAGTGGTATTGGAAAGGCGTATGCTTGATTATGCCGTTGAGAAGTATGTCTAGGGCTTGGTTTGTTTTTGTTAAGGACTAATTACAAGGTTTTGACTTTTCTTGTAAAGGAGTTGGGGTTTTTCCGTACGTTGCTCATAACTTTTGACAACCTTCGCACGTCTCATTTTATTAGGTTTGGCAGATTTTCTTAGGATATATCTATTTCTTTCTTTTTAACGTTCCTGTATATCTTGTTTGCTATAGTAGTTATCTTTTTCTTCCAAAATATAAGATTATATAAAACGTATAATTTTTTATGCTAACGCAGTTATCTTGTTCCGTTTGATTTGGACAACTTAAGTTTAACTTTAGTCTTATGTATTCTAATTTGTTCTTTTTCATGGAACTGCCTGTAGGTGGAGGGGCAAACGGAGGAAGTTATTTTTGACCATTTGCATGCAACAGCTTTCCAGTACACTCCTTTGGGTAGAACAATTCTTGGACCTGCTCAGAATATTAAGACAATCACTAAAGATCATCTGCAGAACTACATTCAGACGCACTACACGGCTCCTAGGATGGTATGCTGAAAATCTAAGTTCCTATTTGTATGCATCTCCTTCTTAATGATGGATGCATGGTATTTCTAGGTTTGATTATCCTTTATCTTACTATACAGATTATTACCTAGTAACAGGATATGGCGGAGAGCCTGAATGTTTTTCCCTTTTTGGGTTTTCTTTCTCAGGTTATAGCTGCATCTGGAGCTGTCAAGCATGAAGATATTGTTGAGCAAGTAAAAAAGCTGTTCACAAAGTTGTCATCAGATCCTACTACAGCTTCTCAATTAGTTGCAAAAGAACCAGCCATTTTTACTGGGTCCGAGGTGAGAATGTATATGTTCAGAACATCACATCTTTACATGTGTTGATATAATAACGAGTCTTATCCTACTAGATGGTGTTGGCTACATAAATTGCATGACGCCGTTGTGCCTTTACATGTTTTGATAGTAATATCAATTTTTTGTTTCCTTTATTTGGTATTACAGGTTAGAATGATTGATGATGATATTCCCCTCGCACAATTTGCCGTAGCTTTTGAAGGAGCATCGTGGACAGATCCTGATTCCATTTCCTTGATGGTGATGCAAGCTATGCTGGGTTCATGGAACAAGACAGCAGGAGGTGGAAAACATATGGGGTATGTCACTTGAGCTTTTCTTTTTCCAAAAAATTTCCCCTCGTACTGAGAAGATTCTAACTGCACAAACAGTTCTGAGTTAGCCCAGCGGGTTGGCATTAATGAAGTTGCAGAAAGCATGATGGCTTTCAACACCAACTACAAGGACACAGGTCTTTTTGGTGTTTATGCTGTTGCTAAGGTGAGCAGTCTTGTAGTTAGTTCTTGTTTTGGAACTTGGTGAAGTAAACTGACTGCATACCTTGCATTCGAGTACATGGGAATCTTCAGGACGAGAAACCTAATATCTTCCTTGCGTAAATGACTTTTTGTTTATCCTCTTGAAGTTTCTTACAGGTTTAATGCATGACTATCCTTCTTGCGCCGGATCCATTTCATTAGGAAATATAGCCGTTCCTTCTCTCTAATTTGTAAACCGATGGGAGAAAACAATTTATGTTATGTGGTGACGATTACCTTTTTTTTTTGGGGGGGGGGGAGGTGGATTCCTAACTTTATGATGATTTATACAGTTATTCACCCCGAACTTGGACCCTGGAGGAAAAAAATCCTCAAGTTTTAACTAAATGCACTGTTTTGATGTTTGAAGCAGTAATGCTTAAGCTGTAAGGAGAATACTTTGTTGGGATTTTTCTTGACATTTTTTTTTTCAAAGAAGATGTTGACTTTTTATTTATTTATTTATTTATTTTTGTTCAGAGAAAATCTGATCTTGTATCTTGAGTTCTTTTGACAAAACTATATTTCTAATTTTAATATCTTTCAGCCGGATTGCTTGGATGATTTGGCTTATGCAATAATGTATGAGACCACCAAGTTGGCTTATCGGGTTTCAGAAGATGATGTCACACGTGCTCGTAATCAGGTAGGCACCAAACCTGTGTTGACCTTCCATGCTTGCATCCATTCCCCCTAATTTTACCGGTAAATTAAATTTTGCTTATGCTTGATTCACGAAAGATCGTGGGCTGGGTGGGATAAATTATGACAGATGTTCTATGCCTGTGGTGCATTTGAGAAGCTTGAATCATACATTTACATAGCCAAGGGTTACATTAGCGAGGATATATGTACGTAGTCCATATATTATCTTGCTTAGCAATGGTTTCTGCTAGACCCTCCAGGATATTTAGACATTTTACTTATTACAAGTTTCATATCTGAAAACCTCTTAAATCTTCATGCCAACTTTTCGTTTAATTTCCCTTCAGTGTGGATCTTGATCTTTCTCACTTATTTGTTGCAATATCTTTCATGTAGTTCTGATCATTCATTTCTATATCTATTCCTAGTTCTATAGTGACTGTAATTTTGTTTTTGTTTCAGTTGAAATCTTCACTCCTGCTTCACATAGATGGCACAAGTCCAGTGGCTGAAGATATTGGGCGCCAGGTACATTAGATCTTCCGTTTTCCATTGAAAGCCTAATTATGCCCCATGGCAACAAAGCTGCTGGTAATGAACATGGAGTAATTGGAAAATGGCAACTTATATAAACTTATATAGCATGGGTACTTCTGTAACTGTTATTGGGATATAAACTTATAAAATAGTGGGGAAGGGGAGAGTTCATAGTGAACAAGAGGACTTTAATTGTGGTCTGTTTTCCATTGAAAGCCTAATTATGCCCCATGGCAACAAAGCTGCTGGTAATGAACATGGAGTAATTGGAAAATGGCAACTTATATAAACTTATATAGCATGGTTACTTCTGTAACTGTTATTGGGATATGGTTCGCAAGTCTCCCCAATTTA